GAGCGAGCTGCTACGCACAGGTACCCCCTGTACCCCCTGCCCCGCACGAACTCCTGTGCACAGATACCCTCTGTACTCCCCACACCCCCCACCCTGCACTCAGGTACCTCCGTGGGCAGGAACACCAGCCCCACTGCCCGACACGGGCACTCACCCCCAGCTCTGCCTGCCTGGCCTCCCCCAGCACTGCCTCTCTTCCCTCTTGGTTTTCCAGCTGGACAGTGTTTGGCTTCCCAGAATGAGGAGAAGAGCAAAGGAATATTCTCTCTGTCAGAGTAAGTGTGGGACACGTGGTGTATCTCAGAGGCTCTCACAGAGCATGTTGGGTGTGTGTAGTCTGGAGAAAAGGAGGCTCGGGGGGGAAACCTTCTCAGGAAGGTGCAGCCAGGTGGGGTCAGGCTCTGCTCCCAGGGAACAAGGGACATGATGAGGGGAAACAGCCCCAAGATGCACCAGGGGAGGTTTAGATTGGATATTGGGAAAATTCCTTGATGGAAAGGGTGGTCAGGCACTGGCACAGCTGTCCAGGGCAGGGCTGGAGTCACCACCCCTGGTGAGATTTAACAGCCACATGGATGTGACACCTGGGGACGTGGTTAGTGGTGCCTTGGCAGTGCTGGGGGATGTCAGGACTCAATGATCTTAGAGGGCTTTTCCCATGATTGTCTCCTGCCTGAGAGCACAACCTCAAGCTTGTGGTGGCAGAGAAGGGAGGACAAACCTCTGCACTCTGGGGCAGATGGCACAGATGGCTGTTTGTGTCTGACAGGAGCACGTGGCTCTCCCTGAGCTCTGCCCTGGTGCTGCTGCTGCTGTTCAGTGCCCTGGGCAATGTGTGGCTCCTGCTGAGGGCCAGGGCAGAGCAGCAGCTCCGGCACGGGGACTATCGCTACCACCCCCTGAGGGACCTCAACGGGGAGGCCATGCATAGCCCCAGCGTGGCCAGCTGGGAGCCACAGGGCACCGAGGACACTCGGGACCAGGGCCAGGAGCTCCTCTAGAGTCCCAGCTGAGCAGAGACGAGGTACTGTGCACCCTGTGCCACAGGTTACTCACGGCTACAGCCTAAAGCTGCTGCTGAGGTACTCAGTCCAGGAATTCCCTGTGCCCTGCTGAGGCCGTGGTCTTCCCTCTGCTGCTCCAGCACTGCGTCCTCAGTCGGCATGAGCCAGCTGGGCTACCCTCCCCAGCAGGATGAGCCCTGGGCCAGCAGGACACTGCTCAGCAGAACAGCTGCCAGCAGCAGCCCAGGACCATGACCAGCACCTTCTTCAAGCACCCCAAGATCCCAAACACCTCATCTGGGAATCCAGAACTTGTCCTCGCAGTTAAATGAAAACAGTATTTGAGCTTGCTGCCACTCAGGGCCAGCCCAGCCTGTCCCTGCCCCTGGAATGCTGCAGGGGTTCGAGCCTGTCCGAGCCCCAACGCTCCCAGTCTTATGTTCTCACTCCCCTTGTACCTCCCCGAGTACAGGATGTGTAACTTCAGTGCCACTGTGGCAGCAAAGCAGCCTGGAACCAGAAGCCTCTATTTTTCTATGACTTACAGAAGATTGTTTGGAACTTGAATAAAGTCTATTAGTGCTAACTGCCTCAAGCTCAGGTTCCTGCTATTCGGCTGCAGATCCTTTCCCAGTTACCCTCAGCCACCCACTGGGACCCTTTGACTTTAGCTCACCACCACACTGCAGGCTGTGCTGCTCCAGCCTCCGCTCAGCTGGGAATCTAAACCAACACCGCTGCTTCTGCAGGAAGAAATGAGCATCAGAGTTAAAAAGTGGGACTGACCTCCAGTCCCGGGGGGAAGGAGAGCAGCACACAGGCTGAAACGGTCAGTTTTCCCCAGTTTGAAGAGTTGCATCAGACACTTGCACATATGCTTAAAGATGCTGCTTTATTTCCAGCACGCTGAGATGGACAGCTCTGCCAGACACTGTCACTGCATACACGTGTTGTCAGGGAACAGGGGAAGAGCCCTGTGGTTCCCAGTGGGCTCTGAAAGGAGGTTTGGCCTGAGAAAAATCAGCATTTCAGCACAAAAACCCAAAGGCAGCTGCGAGGGAGAGAAAGGAAGTGCTTGCTAAAGAGTTAGTTAATGCCCATTTGACTTAGCCATGTAACCAGAGCTCGGAGTGGCTTTTGGGGTCACCAAACGCCACTGCATGTCACACCACCCCAGATCAGAGCAGTAATGAGGTGTGAGGATCAGCACAAACACGTGGGAGGAACACCCAAGCTAACTGCAAGCAGGAGCCGTAGACAAGTGCTGCCAATGCAGACTCCAAGAGCTGCTGCGTTTATTGCTGGCAGGATAAAGATTTGAGGCATTAGAGCAGTGTGAGCTGATGAAACACGTCTTGAAGCAAGACATTCCCTGCCTGGGCCCCCAGCAGCTGCCCACCCAGGGCAGTGACCAAACTGGGATTAGAAATTCTTACTACAGGTTGTTTTTTCCAGTTCCTGACAGGGAATGGATACAACCAAATTGGTTGTCCACAGGAACGTGGCTGAGCCACTGTCACTCAGGACTCCTCACCCCACATCCATCCCCAGGCCACATGCTGTGTCTGCCTCTCCCTGTGCCACTGGCACAGCCAGCAGGGAACGGGCAAACCTGCAGAGTGCCTCAGGATAAAGGTGTCAGCTCTACCTGGAAACCTGGCCCAGCCCTTTGCACAGTGTCCCTGAGCTCCCCTAGCACTGACACGTGGCACTGAGGTAGGTGTTGTGTTTGCATATGGAACATCTCAAACAGAAAAAGCCCGAAAATGCTGGGAGCCTGTTAATTCCCAGCTCGTTCTCTGGACACAGCCTGAGCCCTTGGGGGTTGCTGGGGAGGAGCAGGGAGGGCTCTGCTGCATCCCTAGTCAGCACCCAAAATGAGGCCATTTCCCAAGGTTTTGGCTTAGGAGATTTTTGAGGATCCAGAGCTCCTCCAAGCTCAGCTCACAGGAAGTTGCTGTGAAGAAAATGGGAGTTTAGTTCACTGCTGTCAGTGAGGGGGGGAGTGGTGAGGGACAATCTGCAGCTCAAGGTCAAGTTACAAAGCACAGTACCAGCCAAAACACCCAGGCTATTGCTCCTGTTCTCCCGTAACATTCAGGGAGGAAAAGGGAAAATAGAGGACTATTTAAGCTGGTTTCCAAGGACATGTGCAGGTGGGATAACCCAGGCAGCCCTGGCCGGGAGAGCTCACAGGCTACTTCCCAAACAGACCTGTGCAGCAACCTCGTGTGGGCAGAAGAGTGATGCTACTGAGGGACAAGAGGAAAAACTAGGATTGGGATGTCCTCAGAGCCAGGAAAGCTCTGGGGAACCTTTCCCTGGCTCCTTCAGAGACCTGCCAGGGGTGCCAAGTTCCAGGTGGCTCACTGTCAAGAGTGAAACACCCAAACCTTGTCCTGGTGGGAGGAGAACCGCACAGGCCACGGCTTAAAACTGAACTCAGAAATGTTCCAGTGCAAAGAAGAGATTCTTCACCAGAGCAAACAGGAACGTGGCCACAGTGGGACGTGAGCAACCACATAAGAACTGAGCCCCAGGAAGGTGAAATCCTGGAGCAGCACAGGGAGGTCAGGGCTGGGTTTGCTCCTGAGGCTTTGGGAGTCACTCTGAAACTATTCTCAGCATGAGAGTTGATTCTGAGTAAGGGATTTTCCATGAGGGATACACTTGCACTTCCAGAGCTCCTGATCTTCCAGAGGAAAGGTGTTACTTGTTGCTCTCTATCAGCTTCCAGTTGTGCTGAAACGCTGGAGACAGAAATTTGGTTCATCTGGGCAAAACAGTAAAGTCCATGGAACAACAGAGGAATTCCTGGAACTCAGAACTTCCCTGAGCCCTGCACAGCCAAGGTACCTGTTCCCAAGTAGAGCTGCAAGGTGGAGGAAATGATTCCCTTGGCTCCGATCCTCGAAACACCAAACGACTCAAATCCACACCAAGTCATTCACATCCTGTTGCTCCAGGTATTTGGCCTCTTTTCTCCTTTGGCAGTTACCTGGCGCTTCAAAGCAGGAACTCAAGCAGGAGCATGGGAAGGAAGGAGCAGCTTCACAGACTCCATCAGCCTGAGTACAAACCCGGGAGTACCTGACACCTGATGTGGCTCTGTGGCCTCCTGGCCAAGGACACAACAATCCATGGAGACGGGTCAAACGGGGGTTTTGGGGTGTGGGATCCTCAGGACAACTCCTGAACTCGACCCTCAGAAATGGTGGAAGAGCACAGGACTCTCCTCGCAGGGCAGGTGACCCAGCCTTACCCCGGAGGTGCAGCCCTTTGCAAGAACATCCAACAGTCACAGGGAGCAGGACCTACAGAGAAAGACTTCCTGGGATTGAAGACAATCAGTTATTCCGTTCTAAAACGAAGCTCATCCCATTAAAAAGGTGACTGGGGTTAATAAATAGTCATTGCTGACACTACAAATAAGTTAAAAATTAATTTAAAAAGCTCCTGTGGAACAAACAGTGCTCACATACAGATAAGCCTCCCAAAGGTTCCAAGTGAGCTGTGTTCACAAGAAGTTGGAGAACACTGCCAGAAAACCTTGTGCCTTCAGGAAGTCACATATTGCTTTGCTTAGCCCTTTAGAGTTGAGTTCAGTTCCCATCCCCCTGGGGATGGGACAGATCTGCTCGTTATTGCTGTAAACCTGAGGAAAGGAACGAGAGTTTCTCTTTAGGAAGCTGAAGATTCTCTGCCGTTGCTTCTTAGAAAACCATTTTGGCTTTGTGTCTCAGCAGGTTAAACAACCCAACCCATTTCCCAGCAGCATCCTGCCAGAGCAGAGGAGGTTTTGGGTTGACCTGGAGGTGATCTCTGACCCATCCTAGCTGTGTTTGCCAAGGTGTTTGCAGTTCCCTTCAGGGCTCTGCCCCTGCAATGCCCACGTGACTGTCCATGTGTAAGCACACCCTGTGGGCACTCAGGACACTCACCGGGTTTGCTACCCAGGACATGTCTAAAGGTTCAACAGGTAAGGCAACATCAGCCTCCCGTGGGCAAAGGACAGATGGGAAGAGCCCTTTGGAGTGGATCCCTGCAAACTGACATCCATCCAGATCCACAGCAGGTGAAGGAGACAACTGAGAAGCAGCAACTCATCTAAAACTCCTAAATCTGCCATTGGAATTTCAGGTTTGTGGTTCAAGTAGCTCCCAGAGGCCTCACAGGAGGTCACACGAGTTCTGCCCCAGGGCTCAGCCCTGGGAGCTCTTTGGTTGGGGGCAGGAGCATCTCAGAAGCCCTGGGTGGTCTCTCCTGGCTGCTGTAGCCTTGGCTCTGCTATCTGGAGAGGTGGGAGCTGCTCTGGGACTGGCTGGAAGAGGTGGTGGCTCCACTCAGCTGGGAGAAGCCACTGTTGCAGGATTCCAGGCTCGACATGGATCCTCTAGGATGGGGGAAACAGATGCGTTGTTAGGAAAGCAGCAATTAATGGAGAACTATTCCTCTGACAGACGTTTACCCTCCGTGACACTTGCACAGGTGCTTTGTGTCTCACCATTCTCCACCTGCTCTTTCAGAATCCTGCCAAAAGCAGGGTGGGCTCGCTCGCTGCAGGCAGAGCACTAAGGAGCAGGTGGGCATGACTGGAGTGAGGCGTTTCCTGCTGCTCTGACTCCACAGGTCACATCCCAAGGTCACCACCTGCAAGACTGCTCTGGCCAACACTTCCTCCGGCTCTAGGGCAAGGTCAGGGACTTGCACAGAATCAGATCACTGGGACTGGGATGTGCTTTCACGGTCGAAGGAGGAGGCCACGTGCACCCTGCCAAGGCCGATGTGCTGAGCGGTGCCCTCCGAGGCACGACTGACATCTGCTCCAGTGCAAACAGCCCAGCTGATATTCCACTCACTCTGAGAGCATCGTCTCAAAATGCTCCTGACTAACACAGAAATCCTCCCAAGTCAAACCCCTCCTGATTCCTGGTAGCTGCAAGCAAGGCCTGAAGCACAGATTCCATTGGTGGACACACAGCCAAGGGAGCCCTTAG